TCAGGTACTGAGACGGACACAGAAACTGATCCAAGAACAACCCGAGACAGGAACAGGAGCTGAGGCAGGAACAACCTGAGACTGCAACAACCTGAGGCAGGAACAACCTGAGACTGCAACAACCTGAGGCAGGAACAACCTGAGGCAGGAACAACCTGAGGCAGGAACAACCTGAGACTGCAACAACCTGAGGCAGGAACAACCTGAGACTGCAACAACCTGAGGCAGGAACAACCTGAGACTGCAACAACCTGAGGCAGGAACAACCTGAGGCAGGAACAACCTGAGGCAGGAACAACCTGAGGCAGGAACAACCTGAGACTGCAACAACCTGAGGCAGGAACAACCTGAGACTGCAACAACCTGAGGCAGGAACAACCTGAGACTGCAACAACCTGAGGCAGGAACAACCTGAGGCAGGAACAACCTGAGGCAGGAACAAACCTGAGGCAGGAACAACCTGAGACTGCAACAACTGAGGCAGGAACAACCTGAGACTGCAACAACCTGAGGCAGGAACAACCTGAGACTGCAACAACCTGAGGCAGGAACAACCTGAGACTGCAACAACCTGAGGCAGGAACAACCTGAGACTGCAACAACCTGAGACTGCAACAACCTGAGACTGCAACAACCTGAGACTGCAACAACCTGAGACTGCAACAACCTGAGACTGCAACAACCTGAGACTGCAACAACCTGAGACTGCAACAACCTGAGACTGCAACAACCTGAGACTGCAACAACCTGAGGCAGGAACAACCTGAGACTGCAACAACCTGAGACTGCAACAACCTGAGACTGCAACAACCTGAGACTGCAACAACCTGAGGCAGGAACAACCTGAGACTGCAACAACCTGAGGCAGGAACAACCTGAGACTGCAACAACCTGAGGCAGGAACAACCTGAGACTGCAACAACCTGAGACTGCAACAACCTGAGACTGCAACAACCTGAGGCAGGAACAACCTGAGACTGCAACAACCTGAGACTGCAACAACCTGAGACTGCAACAACCTGAGACTGCAACAACCTGAGACTGCAACAACCTGAGACTGCAACAACCTGAGGCAGGAACAACCTGAGACTGCAACAACCTGAGACTGCAACAACCTGAGACTGCAACAACCTGAGGCAGGAACAACCTGAGACTGCAACAACCTGAGACTGCAACAACCTGAGACTGCAACAACCTGAGGCAGGAACAACCTGAGACTGCAACAACCTGAGACTGCAACAACCTGAGACTGCAACAACCTGAGGCAGGAACAACCTGAGACTGCAACAACCTGAGGCAGGAACAACCTGAGACTGCAACAACCTGAGGCAGGAACAACCTGAGACTGCAACAACCTGAGACTGCAACAACCTGAGACTGCAACAACCTGAGGCAGGAACAACCTGAGGCTGCAACAACCTGAGACTGCAACAACCTGAGACTGCAACAACCTGAGACTGCAACAACCTGAGACTGCAACAACCTGAGGCAGGAACAACCTGAGACTGCAACAACCTGAGGCAGGAACAACCTGAGACTGCAACAACCTGAGACTGCAACAACCTGAGACTGCAACAACCTGAGGCAGGAACAACCTGAGACTGCAACAACCTGAGACTGCAACAACCTGAGACTGCAACAACCTGAGACTGCAACAACCTGAGACTGCAACAACCTGAGGCAGGAACAACCTGAGACTGCAACAACCTGAGACTGCAACAACCTGAGACTGCAACAACCTGAGGCAGGAGACGCTGCAACAACCTGAGTCAGGAACAACCTGAGACTGCAACAACCTGAGGCAGGAACAACCTGAGACTGCAACAACCTGAGGCAGGAACAACCTGAGACTGCAACAACCTGAGGCAGGAGGCAGGAACAACCTGAGACTGCAACAACCTGAGGCAGGAACAACCTGAGACTGCAACAACCTGAGACAGCAACAACCTGAGACTGCAACAACCTGAGACTGCAACAACCTGAGACTGCAGGAACAACCTGAGACTGCAACAACCTGAGACTGCAACAACCTGAGACTGCAACAACCTGAGACTGGAACAACCTGAGACTGCAACACCTGAGGCAGGAACAACCTGAGACTGCAACAACCTGAGACTGCAACAACCTGAGACTGCAACAACCTGAGGCAGGAACAACCTGAGACTGCAACAACCTGAGACTGCAACAACCTGAGACAGGAACAACCTGAGACTGCAACAACCTGAGACTGCAACAACCTGAGGCTGGAACAACCTGAGGCAGGAACAACTTGAGACTGCAACAACCTGAGACTGCAACAACCTGAGACTGCAACAACCTGAGGCAGGAACAACCTGAGACTGCAACAACCTGAGGCAGGAACAACTTGAGACTGCAACAACCTGAGACTGAGGCAACAACCTGAGGCAGGAACAACCTGAGACTGCAACAACCTGAGGCAGGAACAACCTGAGACTGCAAAAACTGAGACCTGAGACTGCCACAACCTGAGACTGCAACAACCTGAGGCAGGAACAACCTGAGACTGCAACAACATGAGACTGCAACAACCTGAGACTGCAACAACCTGAGACGGGAACAACCTGAGACTGCAACAACCTGAGACTGCAACAACCTGAGAAACAACAGGAGACAGAACAACCTGCTGCAACAACCTGAGGCAGGAACAACCTGAGAGAAAAACCTGAGGCAGGAACAACCTGAGGCAGGAAACAACCTGAGGCAGGAACAACCTGAGACTGCAACAACCTGAGGCAGGAACAACTTGAGACTGCAACAACCTGAGGCAGGAACAACCTGAGACTGCAACAACCTGAGGCAGGAACAACCTGAGGCAGGAACAACCTGAGGCAGGAACAACCTGAGACTGCAACAACCTGAGGCAGGAACAACCTGAGACTGCAACAACCTGAGGCAGGAACAACCTGAGACTGCAACAACCTGAGGCAGGAACAACCTGAGACTGCAACAACCTGAGGCAGGAACAACCTGAGACACTGCAACAACCTGAGGCAGGAACAACCTGAGACTGCAACAACCTGAGGCAGGAACAACCTGAGACTGCAACAACCTGAGGCAGGAACAACCTGAGACTGCAACAACCTGAGGCAGGAACAACCTGAGACTGCAACAACCTGAGGCAGGAACAACCTGAGACTGCAACAACCTGAGGCAGGAACAACTTGAGACTGCAACAACCTGAGGCAGGAACAACCTGAGACTGCAACAACCTGAGGCAGGAACAACCTGAGACTGCAACAACCTGAGGCAGGAACAACCTGAGACTGCAACAACCTGAGGCAGGAACAACTTGAGACAAGAACAGAACCCGTGAAAAGTACCAGCAAGAAGAAATATATAAATATATATTCGAGGTAAGGTCTCCCTTACTCAGGTACATGAATCTTGTACTCTTCAGTGCCTCTCAAGAGATGAAATCCAAATCTTTTGTCATGAACAGTTAAATCAAATCTGTTTAGCTTTCTTTTTAATTTGACAATGGTATTCCTCGTGATCTTATGGAGCTTGTATACATTAATTTATAAGTGAAATTCCCAATAACGTGAAAGTAATGTTCATTAATGAGAGCAGTCTACGAGCCCTGCCATTCGCAGCCCTCGTGGCAATACCACACACCACCAAGGGTCGGGTCGACAAGTGTGGGAATCATCTGAGCCTTAGCCACTCTCTCCAACTCGGTCTCTGTCTCTGTCTGTCTCTCTTTCTCTCTCTCTCTCTCTCTCTTCAACTATACAAGCATCTTCTCACTCATCACTTGTCTTCCCTACAACCAGGTGTTACTAAAAAACAAATTATCCGGGATTATATACAATGAGTGGTGTAGTCCGTTTCTTGGTGTACATATACACTGATAGTCTAATTTAGTCCTGACTAGCGCTCATTATTAGAGTATACTTGATGGTAATTCAGTAAGCTTCTGTGATTGCCTGAATAACTCTGCCGCAGTTTATTGGCCTGAGTCCCGATACCAAATCAAAATATTAATCTAATTTTTTAATACGTCCCTGCTATATTGATACGAAAATACTGTCACGGAGAGAATCCGCAGTAGGCTAGACAATAATTATTAAGAGGAATTGAAGAATGTAATTTGAATGATTTGTCTCATGTGACATTATATTGACTGTCCACAGATGAAGTTGGCGGCGTTGTGTGTGTTGGTGGCGGCTGTGGCGGGGGTCGCCGCGGGGGAGTTGGCGCCCCCTGAGAGGGCCTACAAGATCCTCATGCTCCTCCCCGTCTCCTCCAAGAGCCACAGGAACCTCTTCATGTCCCTGGCCGAGGCTCTGGCCGACCGTGGACACAAGGTAGGACTTAAGGGAGGATTGACTTCGTTTCTTATAAGTTGTTCAATGTCAACCAATCTTTTTTGACTAGTTGTATATGAAAAGGGCTACAATTGATCACGTTTCAGTCTCGCAGCCTAAATAGAAAGTGAGAATATTTAT